GATTATTGAAGTTGATGACTTTTCTATTAGTCAACCTAAAACATTCCTTAAACTAATAGCCCTCCGTTTTTTATGAATGCTTTCAAAACGACATTTTGTTAGGACCCCCCAGACCCCCTCTGTGGTGAGGTGTGTGTGTGTGTGTGTGTGTGTGTGTGTGTGTGTGTGTGTGTGTGTGTGGTGGTGTGGGTGTGTGTGGTGTGTGGGGGGGGGGGGGTGTGTGTGTGTGGTGTTTGTGTGTGTGTGTGTTCGTCGCGTATAATTGTGGTGTCGTATGTGAGAGAGTCGGGTTATGTGTGTTATGCGTCTTTTTTCCGCCGACCAGAGAGGGGATTAGACCGATTTTTGAAGCACTCAACCTTATACTTCAAGACAGAATGATTCCACCTTGAGCTGATGGAAGGAATTTGGACGCACGTGAACTTTTTGTGAGGTCGGCTTTTGTAAAGAGTCAAATCCAACCTCGCTCATATAGGTTTTTTTCTTACCCTATACTTACACCTTCTGCTTGTCCATATGTTTACCCAAATTAGTGATGCATGGGTATTATAATACACAAGTTTAACTTCTTAATTAAAGGAGCGGTGATCCATGTGGACATTAAACGATCCCCGGGTCCAGACAGAAATCCATTAAAGGCTTGTTTAGTGTTTCGGCGAAGTAATGAGGAAGAGCTTACCCAAAAAACATCAATTAATGTTTGCTCTTATTCTTATTTAAAACCTCTGAATGCCAACATCCAGGTGTTTCCCAGGTCTCTGCTCTCCATTTTGACTGCTGTCCATGACCATTTGGTGTCGCCGCTCACATAAATGCACCCCGATGCGCGCGCAATGTATAACCAGGGGAGGAGAGGGCGGGGGGGGTTAGGGTGAAGTGGGGGTGAGAAGAGGAGGAGTTTAGAGAGAGAGAGAGAGAGAGAGAGAGAGAGAGAGATGTGGAGTGGTGGTGAGGGGACAGGAAGGGAAAGGAACAGTCGCTTTGCTGCTCAATTAGCGTTTTAATCTCCTTCTTAATCTTTCCTCAAGACAACAAGAGGATCACACTTTTCACATTGTAGCTTTGTGTATTTATCTCCAAATACGGGGGAGGAAATACATTTCTCACACTTTGCGTAAAACCTAAATGATACCAAAACCATTTTACGCACGCCTTTGGATTGGAGACACTGGATTTTAAACAAGCAGAGCCTGGCCTTTTGGGGAAATGCTGCTGTAATTTCAGACCAACTTTCATCCCTGAGGATTACAAATCTGCCCTTTTTAAATTAGTTTTAGCCAGCCCCTTTCAGGTTTTTTTTTTGTATAGTTCTAAACACTACATCGGGAGGAAAGGTGCAGACCAGTGGACTGTCCTCGCAGCGCCACACGCTGTCCCGAGCAGGACGGACCCCTCCTGACTGTCTGCCCATGTCTCAACAGCAGAACTCTTTCCCCCGCAGCGGCTGTGTGGCGGTGATGCGGCGGACCATGGACACCAGGCCGGTCCGGAGGAGGCGCACCGGCGCCCTGCGGCATCTGCTTCTGGCCGCTGCCTTCCTGGCGTGCAGCTCCCAACTGCTGGTGGTGGATGCCAACTCATGGTGGTGAGTTACTGAAAGATAAATACATTGTTATGTTTGAGCACTGATGACATCCATTTAGTAGTAGTAGAACTTTGACAGATTTTTAGAACATGTTTTTTTGCTGTTGAATATGTTCCCTTAATTTGTTTAAGAAGGAGAAGAGGAACCTTCCCCAAGGGGAATTTCAGGTGTTCACCCAGTATTCATTACACACAGTATACAAAATACACATGCAGGACAGGACCTAAACACAGTGGGTCTGAATACATTTACATAGACACATATACAACACATCCCTTGTTCTGATATACAGAGGGATGTCTGTTTTGTTATGCCCAAATGACACAAGCTTCATTTAAAAAAATGTTTTCTCCTCAATCTTTTTCTCTTGGATGCCGTTGCTAAGAACACAAATGGCCAAGAAATGTGAACTATAGACTTTTTGTTTTCTCTTGTGTCTGTGTGTGTGTTTTGGGGGTGATGCCCCAGTCCTGTAGAGCCCTATGGAACAAATGTGAGGGCTCTGTCACAATATTTACCCTGCTGAGCCCCAAATGGCCCGCATGGCGGCCTGCTGCTGCTGCTGTGCTGCTGCTGTGCTGCTGTGCTACAGGAGCCTCAATTAGCCACACTTGTTCTTGACTTACAGGGCAACTCTGCAACTATGCTGTTAGGTTGGCTTTGTGGTAATGTAGAGGAGGGGGTGTGCAGGTTAGAGCAGGACTGGGTTCACCTTCCTGTCAGTTTATGTAGAATCAGAATAGCCTTTCAATGGGAGGGTCACGAGTCAGTCATATTCTCTGCATGAGGGAACAAATTGTGACTTAGTTTTAAACCAAAATGATTCAAAATGTATGATTAGGCTGCAACTGTTTGGGTGAAATGGACAGGAAAGGAGAAAGGAGGGGAGTGCCTGCAGAGATGAACACCAGCAGTCTATTTATCTTCCCTTTATAGGCCAGTCGTACTAATAAACTTGTGTCTGAACTTTGTCCTCTGCAGCGCCGACCTCCTTCCAGGGAGAGTCGTACATCACAGAGATTCTGTCTCTGCCACTTATCTCTGATGGTAACAGATAGAGTTTATTGGTTCAATGTTAGACTCACTATGGCTCTCTGTCTCTCAGGTCACTAGCTCTGACCCCCATCCAGCGGCCCGAGATGTACATCATCGGAGCGCAGCCTCTGTGCAGCCAGCTGTCCGGTCTCTCCCAGGTGAGTGTCTTTAGATATACTTTTATGCATTTGTTGCAAACCTACCTCCAAGAGCTCAGTTTCTGGCTGTACAACATCAACTTCAACACAGACTAACCCCTGATCTGAGTCCTAAGAATATCCTCACAGAGACCGCTGAAGCATGGAACCATTAACTAATCTCTGCTAATCTGCAGGGCCAGAGGAAGCTGTGCCAGCTGTACCAGGACCACATGGTCCACATCGGAGACGGAGCCAAGACCGGCATCAAGGAGTGCCAGTTCCAGTTCAGACAGAGGAGGTGGAACTGCAGCACGGTGGACAACACGTCGGTGTTCGGACGCGTCATGCAGATCGGTGAGTCTGATCAGCATAAGGAGAACTGATTGTTGTTGTCTAATGTCTTTAAATACCTCTCAGTCAAATCTAAGGGTGATGACAGATTTAATTCTGTGTTTTGTTTTATTTCTGCCTCCATATGTATGATTGTGCATTATAACGTCAGATTAGCAATTAGAAAAAGACGTGATTTCCTCAAGCATGCAAAATCCCAGATGTTACATCCAGCATCAGGACAGCAGGAACTGAACCAGCTGTGTTGTGTCTTTGAAAGATAAAATAATCTGTACAAATTAAATTTGACAACAACAGCTTTATACTGAAAACCAACAGAGTTCATTTCTTTCTCAAATATGTTGTTTAGGCTTTTTCTTTCTTAGATGCAGTACGTAATGCAGCAGTTTATTGTTTCACCCTGATTGGACTGTTATTATGATTATAACACAACAGGTGTTTGGACAGGTCATGCAGATCAGGATGTTAAATGTCTGACAGAAAACAGGAGGTTATCTGAGGTCGCTCAAGTAACAGTCTGAAATAATATTAGACTGCATGTCACTGTTTGGACAGGAATATGAGCTAAACAGTAGCCTCACATTGAAACAAGCCCAATAAATACACCGGTGATATAACATTACTGTGATAGAGAGTTATTATGTTCCTTTGTGCAATTACTACAAGATGTAAGGCCAACATGAGGTATAAACATACACTATTATGCAAGTGTTTTACATATAGACAGAACAGTATTTGAAGTAGGCTGCAAGAATTGGTCGACTAATTGATCGCTAAGTCGAAATAAAAACAATCTAAAAAGTTTAAAGATGTATTAGGCACGTAAATCGTTGTACCCATAACATTACAAAAAACGTTCCCCTTAATAATACAGAGGGAATCCTGTGATTGGATAAAGCGCAAAAGCTTTTGCCCCGTTTCCTTTGCGCACGCCCAGGGCCGTCCCTGGCCATCTGTTTCGCGAGCCTCGTCGACGGGGGGTGGGGGCGGGGGGGGTGCTAGTGGAGCCTCACCACACTAATTGCGCCGCATAAGCGCATAGGTGCGCCGCATTTGCGGCTCAGTTGAGGCTCCCTCCGCAAGATGAGGCCCCCTCCGCGAGGTGAGGCCCCACGCAGTCGGCGTGATCTGCCTGTAGGGAGGGGCGGCCCTCCGCACGCGCAACAATAACTTCCTCAGTCCAGTTAAAGCGGGTACGCGGACAGAGGCACATAAACTGCACAATTAAGAGCGCAAAGCCCGTGGAGTGTCCAGGCAGAGGTTCAGTAAACACGCAGCAGCAGATCAGACCCGGGATCAGTCTCATGTGCGTCTAATTCCCAGCAGGCGTTGTGGGAAAGCTCTCATCAACATGTAGGTGTGAGATCCGCTGCGGGAGTCCGCGAGGTGTCCGGCCTCAGACTCTCTGCTGTCGGCCGGCCTCTCTATTGACAGTCCGTCTATCTCCAGCTTTATATGGAGGTGTGAGGCGGTCCATTGTCCCGCGACTGCTCTTTTGAAATGCGCTGATGAGCTGACACCGAGCCGGCAGATCCGGACCCGCTATTTGAAGTCTGGGCCCCGCAGCCCATAAACCCTCTGCCGCTCCTGACTCTTTATCCGCTGCATAATGTGAGAGGGACCTGAGAGGGATCCTCTGCTCCTAAAAGCTGAATGGAAGCTCTGCATGCATACCTGCCTGTCTGCCTGGTGTTTATTCCAGGCTACAGGCATCCCATAGTATATTAACGAGCGATACTAGAGGCTGCAAATAACACAGGAAAAGCAACAACACTGGAAAAAGAACTCAGATTGCATACTTAAGTGAAAGCAGCAATAATACATTAGACGTGGTCTGTTTCAAGTATGTGTTGCATTTAAATGTTACTTAAGTAAAAGCCTACAAACTTTTAGGTATCAAAATATACTAAAAGTAGCCTACCAAAAGTAGAAGAAATGGCCCATTTCAGAATTATATATAATGAATTACTTATTACTTGTGATTGTTGATGCATTAATGTGTTCATATCAGCTGGTGAATGTGAAACCTTTAATTACTTTATATATAGTGCTGCTGGATATCAGGACATATGATATCATTATGTTCCATAGTTTATTTGTTAGTTTATATATATTCATTGTTTGCTAATAATCTAAAGTAACTAAAGCTGTCAACATGGAAATACTCAAGTAAATACAAGCACCTAAGAATGTCAATAGAGTATTAGAGCATTTTTTTTACATTGATTATTTATTTATTTTAAAGGGACAGAGCACATTAGTGGGGAAACAACTGTATGCGAGCCAGAAATAGCATTAACAGATACTTTTGATAATTTTGAAAACAACATCATTATAATCTTATTGAGGTAAACACACCAATACAAATGTGCAATAACAAGAATTTTAAAACATTACAAAACAAACACAGGTTAGTATTCAAAATGATCTGGTTTCTGTAGCAACACAAGTTGTGACTGTGTTATACAGAGAAATGCCCCCCCATAATATCCAGTAAAACCTCTCTGTGGTCTTTGGTCTCTGAGGCTCTCTGTCAGCCCTGACTGGTCTTTGTGTGTTGGAAGGGTTTGTGTATTAATGCAGAGAATAGACATGCAGGGTGTGTATTCCACAGTGTGAGCGGACGGGCAGAAAACATTAATACTGAGGTGTACTGAGCCATCATCAAAGAGTAACAGCAGAGAGATGTTCCTTTCTTTGTTTAAAACAGATTTAGTCGGGAACCATCTTTGTGTTTCGATGTTAATGATGTGTTAACCTGCAGGTCTTTGCAGTGCAGTACATCACAGCTAGAGCTTCTGTTTCCTCTGATGTATCCAGGATCCTCTTAAAGGGTCATTTCTCTTTTAGGGGACAATTCCTTTCCTCTAGTGTGGCCCATGCAGATAGTTGATTCATTTGTACAGGGTTTGAAATGTCCGTCCGCCTTAACCCTTATACAATGTAGACTACCTTTACTGTGGGTGCTTTCTGGATTGAAGAATAACTTTTAGCTGCAACAATCCTTCCCCAAAATGTTGACTTTTGACTTTTACTAGTCCGCAAATTCCCATGCAACAATATTTATAGAGACTGTTTATTAGATAGAAAATAGTGGCCAATGTTAACTGCTTACACACAGGGTCAGGGACATTGTTTCTGGAAAGACACGTTGCTAAATATTAAAACAAAAAATTCCTTTGCTGTGAGTGCCACAATTAAAATCCAGAAATGAGCAAGACACATAAAAGCCAAAGTATTTGAGAGCCAGATGCCAGCACTAGAAGCGAGGGAGACAATATTGTTGGTCATCTGTGCTATCCTTTATCCCTTATCCTTAACAAACCAGGCAGGTGTATGTTTACCTGATCAGATGCTCTCATGTATTTTGGATCACTGGGCTGCTGCTGTTTGAAGTGGCTGAGTTTAACCAGGTACACAGTGAGGGCTTGAAATCACTTCCATTGTCTATTGTTAGGTGGAGTGGGGTGTAGGGTGTGGGGCTGTTTGCTGTGTGTGGGGGGGAGGGGGTAACCTGAGCAGTTACCCATGATTCCTGTCAGTGAACACGACATTCACTACAGCCAAAACAGCAATAAACATGATGAGCACTTACCTAATCTCAGAGGCGAGAAGTACTCAGATCTTGTACTTAAGTAAAAGTAGAAGTACCAGAGTGTAAGAATACTCTGTTACAAGTAAAAGTCCTGCATTCAAAATGTGACTAAAGTAAAAGTGCAAAAGTATTGGCATTCAAATATACTTAAAGTACCGAAAGTAAAAGTACTCATTATGCAGATTGGTCCATTTCAGAATGACATATATGATATGTTTGGATTCAAATTAATTTGATATAAATGTGTTTATCAAAGTTGTTCAAGGTGAAACAAACACAGCAGGGTAGCTTGTGAATTTACTCCAGGTGTAACTAAAGTCTGATTTAAGAGTTGATATTATAAATATTTCACATCATTAATCCAAATCTGTAGAGTAACTAGAGGTATACATGTACTGGAGTAGAAGTACAAAGTAACAAAACATGTAAATGCTGTAAATGTAATAAATACTCAAGTAAAGTGTCAAAAAATTGTACTTAGGTACAGTACTTTAGTAAATGTACTTAGTTACTTTATTTACCTTATTGGTTCAGTATCAGTGTATATCTTAGAGTAATCTAATGACCCCCCCCCCC